AGGGAGACAGGAGGCAGGGAGGAGGGAGGCAGGGAGGAGGGAGACAGGAGGTAGGGAGGAGGGAGGCAGGGAGGAGGGAGACAGGAGGCAGGGAGGAGGGAGGCAGGGAGGAGGGAGGCAGGAGGCAGGGAAGGGGGAGGCAGGAGGCAGGGAGGAGGGAGGCAGGAGGCAGGGAGGAGGGAGACAGGCCGTACCGTGGCCGTCAGAGCCTTCCATGGTCTTCAGCGTGTTCCTTGTCTGCTCCAGCTCGGACTGGGCAGACTTCAGCTGCATCTTTAGTTTGTTTGTAGTGGTTTCCATTTCTTCACTTTTGTTTCGGAAATTCCTCTTCAAGACTTCATAGTCCTCTATACAACATAATAGCCAACATTTGTAATTAGTAATCATCTTAGATTACTATCTAAGATGTTATTAGTAACAGCATCTTAGAGGCTGGAAGAAAACTCCGTTCATCAGCCCTCATTGTTGCAGCCGTGAGATGCACACATGCATTCCAGGGGTCTGCTGCACTTTGCTTTTAGCTGGCTCTTCCTTTACCTGCCTTCATTCAAGCTCCTCCCCAGCCTCTGTACTTAGCTCACATCTGTCATGTCTTTGTTGCGGGATATTTGATCACACTGTGAAAACCCAGACTGTGTTAATAAAATCAACCTTGGATCAGGGGGCGGAGCCAGCAACTAATTGACAGGAATTAGTCATAGAGAGGACAGAGAAGCCAGGAAGATGGGTATAGACATACAGAGGAAGGAGAAGGAAGGGACTTTGAGTTTTGGGATCTCTTTAGATTGGGATGGCTAGAGAGCTGCTCTCTCATTGGCCAAAAAGGAAGGTCAGCTGGTTGCTTCTTGGCCTCTCTGAGCTAGCAGGTTTTCACCCCAACATCTGACTCCTGAGTCTGTACTGGTAAACAGAATGACAGAGACTTAGTTAAAAACTACATTTGGTGGCAGTGACAGAGCCAGTGCTGGCAGGACTGTAACTCCCACTTGAGCACCCTTAGTGGCAGGGACGCTGACTGTGGCCTTGGGGCCTCAGATCGTAATGAAAACATCAGTAGATTCCCGTGCAGCCGCTAAGCCAACAGAAAAACAAGTCTTCTTGTTTTTGTTGTTGTTGTTTGTTTGTTTTTTGAGTCAGTCATCTATCTATCTAGAGACAGGAGCTCACTAATAAGGTAGCTCTGGCTAGCCTGGAACTTTCTATATAATTCCAGACTAGGCTAGCCTTGAACTCACAGAGATCCACATGCCTCTGTGTCCAAGTGTTAGGATTAAAGCCATGTGCTACATGCCCAGCTTTATGTCTTTTTCATCTTAAACCTTCTTCTTGGAAGACTCCAATCTTCATGACACCATTAATGACTTAAGACTCCCATGTGTCTTTTCAAAATTTATTTTTCAATTGACTTCCAAGTTCTTGCCTTCCTCCCACCCTAAGGCATTACATATTGAACCCAAGGCCTTGCCCATATAGGCAAGTACTTTACCACAGAGTTACACCCTTTATTTATCTATTTATCTATATATTTATTCACTATCTACCTAGTAACTATCAAAATGCCTGGCACACAGTCAATATTCTATCATAAATGAAGGAAGAGACTCACAAGACCCTACTCACAGCTGAGGAATGATTGACAGTTGATTGCTGCTGAGGGAAAGCTGTTTTTTTCCCCCCCGAGGGGTGCAGCCTTAGTAGGTTGTCTATGCTTCATTGAAGCAACACTAATTGGACTCAGTGGGTTATAAAAAATAAAAAGACATGAAGTTGAGAGATGGAAGAGTTCTAAGAAGAGTAGGAGAGTGACCAAAATACATTACATACTGTCTGAAAATCTCAAAGAATAAATACATTAAAAATACTTGGCACAAACTCACCCACCACACATTCTATTTACCTATGTGTACATGATAGAGATTTTGAGAAGGTAAGACAAGGTCTCATGTAGTCAGGCGGTCCTAAACTCACCACATTGCCAAAAGTAACCATGAACTCCTGATTCTCCTTGTCTCCAACTCCCAAGTGCATCACACCCAGCTATGACACAGATTTACACACCGAACTCTAGCTCCACAGATCCCAAGTGCATCACACTCGGCTATGACACAGATTTACATACCGAACTCCAACTCCACAGATCCCAAGTGCATCACACTCGGCTAT